GATGCTGCTCTTTTTTTCTCCTGACCGCCTCAGGTGGTGAATACAGTAAGGATGGCACTGCATATACTGTATATTTTTCCCAAGTGAGGCACCATCACGTTAGCTGGAAGTTACTGAAAATTAGATATCCCTGTTGCTAGGCAATGGATCTGGACTTGGCCAACCATGGGAGGTGGAATGATGTTTCCCTTTTGACTGTTATTGTGCAATTTCAAATGCATTAAAAAGAAGTAGATTGGCAACACGTTTTTATTCTACTGTCATGTATTTTTGGAGCACATTATTGTAATGTGTTTTGTGTTTTTTAATACATATATACAATATATATATATATCTATATATGTATATATAGATATATATCTATATATAGATATATCTATAGATATAAAACACTTATATTCACTATAGGCTTTGCAGCTTTAACTAGGTTGCATGGGCAAATGAACGTTCACAGCTACTCGAAGGGCCCTGCAAATTGTTTATAAATAGATTCCATAGTGTTTAGTAAAGAGATGGTGGAGGCTAGCAACAAAGCTTATGCTCACAGTTCCACAAAAGTCAGGAATTCTATGAAGCTTCTAACCTAAGGCACTTTACTGTATATTATTTGATATGAAAATTATATGACACAGTGCCTGAAGAGGTCCATAGCTTAACCCTGTTTTATGGTATTGCATATAGGGTACTGTCCTGGTACATGTTTTAGCTATCAATTTCTTTTTGTGGTTTATTTAGAGCGGTGTACAAGGATGCTGACCTCTACCTACTGGATTCTCCATTTAGTTACCTTGATTTGTTTACAGAGAAGGAGATATTTGAAGGGTATGTAATCAAGATCATTCACTGCTACCTGTATACTTAAACTCATGTATTCTAGTTTGCTAAAACAGTTGTGTTGAAATAAAAAGGCAATATATTTAACAGAACTTTGGTCCATCATCTCTAGTGGTTTTTGCTAATCAGAGGATTGACTTTGATTAAAGTAGAATTCGGTCCCAAGCTTTTTTGTTTTGGATATTGTAGGTCAGATTTTTACTGCTGTATGAGGTTTTTTGGGGGGATATTTTATCTCACATCCTGACCCACACTGGAAGTGAGGCAAAATCTTCCTAACAGCAATAGGAACCCAACAGGGGTTCTATCCCTCCAAAGCTAGATAAACAGGGTTTAGCTGCCACTCTGCTTTAATGAAAAGCTTTCTAAATTCAGGTTCAGTCATTGTCCATGAATGATTAACAGATGTTCTCTTTTATTGTTGTTTTAGATGCAATCTTTCCCTATTATTTTGAACATAGAGAACATAATTTTTGTTTGCCATCTCTGACAATGTTTTAACTTACCTGTTCTTGTCTTAAAATGTCTCTGTCATGGGAGAAATATGGGGGCCTTCATTGCTGGCGTTTTTGTGAAACTGATAGATGCCTGGCCGATCACGATACATTCACAGACCTGGAACAAGCATGCTGTAAATGAGTATCATAAATGTTTCACGATCCCTTATCACTACACTTGTTTTGGGTCAGTGACTTAGTCAGCATCAAGACAAAGCATTTGCAAATGACCAGGGAGCTAGCATCCTTAAAGTGTATGTAAAGCCAATATTTATTTTGGGTAATAGAATGTAGATGAGTTAGAACATGTCAGGTTTTGTGGATGCCAGTGTAACTACTGGGGAGATTTAACTTCGCTATGTGTCCTGGTGACCAGTGTCTCTGCTAAAGAAATCAATGAGAAAGCCAACGTGTTAGAGATCTCACACCAACAGAAGGTAAGGGGAAAGCTTCCAATGCGGAAACCTGTTCTGGTGACAACTGTGTAAGAGGGAATATGCCCTCGCTTTGATGAAATATCATCTTACGTTCTGCTATGTCTCTGGAACAGGAAGTAAAGGCAAATCTCCCAGCAAAAATAAAAACTGACAGGGGTCTTAACCATTCCCTACTCTATGTAAAACTAAAAAAAAAAAAGTTGGGCTTGACATACACTTTAAAGGAAGAGGTCAGTAGTGACAACGTTCATTATTCTCTAAGTACAGTTTGCTCTTAAGGGGACACTGACATTAGAGATTAATAGAGGCTGCCATCTCTAAACTCTCCTTTGAGAATGATAGGTCCCTGGCTGTCATTCTAATGCTTTAACTTAAATGCTGACTTAGTCGCTGACTCTGAACCTGTATAGAGATAAGTAGTTCTGGAACTTTTCTGACACTCATTAACAGCGTGTTAATTCTGGGACTGTGATGGAAACAAACTGAAATCAGACACAGCCAGGATCTAGCATTTTCAGAAGAAGGTCTTCAATGTCAGCCTCCATGCTTCTCTTATGAGAGAGTAACTTTAAAAGCACAACTGTTTTATATGAAGAATCTTATGAACCTGAATGAGCTATATCACTTTTATCTAGGTCTGTGATCTGTGAAACAGAATGATCTGAGCTGATAAAAGGTGCATTGGATCACCAGTCTTTAAACATTATAGTGTATGTAGAGATGGCAGAAGGCCTAATAATTTCATTCTTGCATTACCTGGGGCCAACAGAATTCAAGTGCTGGGTCTAGAGTTTGTATTTTGGTTTGCTCATACACAGCTTTATTTATACTTCTAGATGGAGATACTGTTTTCTGTGTTGTCTTTTGCATTTGATGTCTTTGTTCACAGAAATGCCTGTTTATATCTCTTATCAAATGTTATATTTGCTATTTGCTTTAATAAGATATTCTTCTAGAGGAAAGTTACATTTATTTTTTTAATTCTTGCTATATCTTTTTATTATTACAATTTATAGTCTAATATTTTCAACATAGATTTTCCTACCAAAAAAAAAACCATATTTAAATCTTTTTTACATTTTGGCTCATTTAAAAAAAAACTAAAAACACACAGGTTTGTCATTGACAAGTTTCCCAAATAAAAGACCAATCCAATAGACCAAAAAGGCTGTTTAGCCAGATCCAAAGCACATTCACTATGTTCACACCATTTGCTGTGGAAACATTGGACAGCCTTACCAAATGTTGGAATTTTAGCAAAGCATACTTTTTTCATAAAGAAAAACATCAGTTTTTCATTTTCCCATTCCTACATTTCTCTGAAATATTATCCAATATGGTTTATTTTATGATAAACAATTATACTTTTTTTTTCCTAGCTGTATTTGCAAGCTAATGACCAACAAGACCAGAATTCTAGTTACCTCAAAACTGGAACAGCTGAAAAAAGCTGACAAAATACTCATTCTTCATGAAGGTACCTCCTACTTTTATGGAACATTTTCAGAGCTTCAAGAGCAACGTCCAGACTTCAGCTCCCAGCTTATGGGATTTGATGCCTTTGATAATTTCAGTGCAGAAAGGAGAAATTCAATATTAACAGAGACCTTGAGACGACTTTCCATTGACAGTGAACCCATAGTTGCTAGGAATGAAGCCCGAAATAAGTCCTTTAAGCAGGCAGCAGAATTTATGGAAAAGAGGAAAAATTCTATTATAAATTCTCGGAAGTCAAGTAGAAAGTTTTCAATCATGCAGAAAGCTCAGCCACAAATGGGTGGAATTGAAGAAGAGTCCCCTGCAGAACCAGAAGAAAGAAAACTATCCTTAGTTCCAGATTCAGAACAAGGGGAAGCCATCCTACCACGGAGTAACATTCTCAATACAGGTCCAACTTTTCATGGTCGAAGGAGACAGTCAGTACTGAACCTAATGACTGGTACATCAAGTCCACAAAGTCAGATTGCTTATGCAAGAGGAAATGCTTCTATTAGAAAAATGTCAATGGCTCCACAATCGATAGTAGCACAAGAATTAGATATTTATAGCAGACGTGCCTCGCAAGACAGTGTCATGGAAATCAGTGAAGAAATTAATGAAGAAGATTTAAAGGTATAAATATGATTTTCAGATTTCCTAATTAGTCTTAAAGATTTTGTAACTAGTTCTGTACTAAAGATGCCATACTGTGAAAATCAGAGATCTGTTAAAATGCATTAAAGTAACAGTTTCCACAGTAAATCAAGTCTATCAATTAAATTAATTATTAAGGAAACACAATATTTAGCTGTCAAATGCCAACATGGCTGAGCAGTTATTTAATTGATATCAGTTTACCTGTTGAGCAACGAGAAGAAGGGTCATGTTCCTACTATTTAAATTGAATCGCCAAAAACAAAAAAAACAGGAAAATTGACCCTCCAGCCCCTTACATATTAACATACTTAACCCTTCGAAAATGGTTAAAACACACCTCCAAAGTTAGTCCTCATACTTTTAAAGCAGGGCACAAACAACAAATTATTCTGGGTGTCTAATATGTCTAGATCTAAAGACTGGAGTCCTTCTTAAAGGATAATCCTGTCTTTACTAGACATGCGTGTTTAGTTTTATTCCGAATTGTAATTCAGATGAATTTTCGGAAATTCATACATTCGAATGCATTTGAATTTCCAAATGACAGGAATTACAAATGCAAACAATTTCGAATTACCGATAATGAAAATTTCGTACGCATCTGAATTTTTTTCCTGAATGAAGTTTTATTGTGTTAAGCTTTAACGTTTATTTATTTTTTTTAAATCGAAATTTTCGGTAGCGGTAGTATGTACGAATATTCGTTACTAATGGATTTTCGTTGCAGCAAAGTGACATTAGACTAAAGGAAAAAAAAATAAAAAATTTTTTATAGTCCGCAGAAGAAAACAAAAAGCGTGTGGTCCTCCTTCCCTTCCTACCAGGCCCTTTAGGATTCTAAGGAATTTTAAGTGGGAACCCCACCCCCTGAAACGGGGCAAAAAAAGTGGGGTCCCCCCTAAAATTTCCAACCAGACCCTTTAATCCAAGCACTGGCCTGGCAGGGCAGGAAAGGGGAGGGGCGAGCGAGTGCCCCCCTGCGCCATACCAGGCCACATGCCCTTGGCATAGGGAGGGTGCTTTTCACGGTCCCCCCCTCCCCCAGGAAAAGCACCCTGTACCTGACTTGTCAGCTGGCTACGGGCCACATAGTACCGGTTCACGAGCTGGTACTTTGAGACCCCTTCACTATCGCCCGTTGACTCGCCAAAATAAAAACAGTCCAGCCGCATGACGACCTGTCCGAACCCGATGAAGACTCGCCGCAAAATGATAGCTTTGGCCCAAATGTAAATGGGCAGAGCGAGCTGTGACGTCAGCTGTGATCTCCTGAATGCTATTGTGTTATATGACAGCTTAGAATGTCAAATGGGCGGAACAAGCTAATTTGTTTATATTCGGACCGGAGCTGTCATTTGTGGAGCGTCTTCGTTGGGTTCAGACGAGTCTTTGTGTGGCGGGACTTTTTTTATTTCGGCAAGTCGGCGGGTGTCGTTCATCGTGATTGACGTTGGATTACATCGATGGATCTTTTTTTTTTTTTTAAAGACTTGTCAAAAACTGACTTTGTTTTTTTGTTCAATTAAAGGAAATGTTTCAAAGTGTTGTGTTTTTATTTTATTTTTGTGCTTTAATTTTTGTATGTTAATAAAGCCCATTGTATGGCTTTATTAACATACAATGGGCAAGCCACCATAAACCCTCTCACAGTCTAACTCCTAACATTTCAAAGAAATAGAAACTAGAAGAAATGTTAACCCTTAATACCCTAACCCAAGTAAAAACAATTTTAACTGCAAGAAGCATTTTTTAATTATTTATTTTAGCTTATGCTATGTGAATGGGAACATGTAACAAGTAGAAAATAGGTGTTATCCTAATTTGACTGTGAAAGTGGAAATACACTTTGAGGTTTTTCATTTTAAAAATTGTTATGTTTGCCAGTAAGTTCAAGCCAACATCACAGATTTGGTTTATCATTTCAGTTTGTAATTGGTATTGTAGAGGGGCAGGCCTTCTTTGGAACTCTTTGCATAACTGGAAAAATATGTATACATCTAACTGTGCCATGTTTCCTGTTTTCTTTATAGGAGTGTTTTCTGGATGACACGGACAGCGCATCACCAACTACAACATGGAGCACTTATTTCAGATATGTCACCACTCACAAGAGCTTAATCTTTGTTCTTGTTCTTGTCCTAGTGATTTTCTTGGCAGAGGTATTATTATTTACATAAACTACCACTAGGTAATTTGCTACTTGTTACAACTGACAGTTTACTACTTAAAGTGCAAGTGAAGCAAAAACTTTTTATTTAGTTTTGGATAGAGTGTAGAGGGATTACAACACTGCTATCGGTGTCACTGTTAGGAAGATTCACCCTCTCTATTTGTCCTGGAGACCATTTATCAGTGAAATTGAAAGAAAATCTTTAATTTTGGCTTGTCATCACAGTAATAGATGAGAAATAGATGTGTAATCCAATCCAATTGTAGCTTTAGTTCTAGTGATGCTGCTGACCAGCAGGGAGTTCCCTCATTTTGCAGGGATTTACTCTCACTTCCTGTTGCAGCTTTCAGACAGAAAGTGAAGGGAAATCTCCCCAATGGTATACAGATGGCAAAAAAAAACCTGACCGGGTTATAATGCTTCCTAACTTTATCAAAACATAAAAAAGGCTTTGGTTCTACTTTAAGGGATACTTGAAGAGCAGCTTCTAAGTGCTCCCCAATAAAACAAATGCCTTTTAACAAATGGGATACAGTTGATTGCACAGTAGCACACAAGGGAAGTGGTTTCCATGATTCCTTACAGAAGTGGAGAACCGCTTAAAAGAAATCTCAGTATCACTCTGAACGTGTTTCTAGTTGTGTCAGGATGATACTATTTGACAGTAACAAACTCTAGACAGTAACTATTGGCTTCCCGTCACTATCTGCTGTAACTAAAAGATCCCCAAAAATGCATTATTATATAGAAATTAGCAAAAAGCTCAAACCCCAAAAACTTGAAAACAGTGAAACATGCATATAGAAAGCAATAGAGATAATAAGCCTATATCAGTATATTATACATTTGTGGGTTGAACAATTTAAAGGTAATTCAAGTTTCCTCAAAGGAATAGCAGTATCACATTTGATAAATGTTATATCAATTACCGAGTGGCAGAATCAAAGTGCACTGTGCATTTACATAAGCAAGTACACATACTAATTTTATCTGTACACTATTTAAAAAGGTAATTTTATTACCAAAACTTATTTACTGGTTGTGCCTTTGTGGACATGATTCTAGCTGTGTCAGTATGGTACTGATTGTGTCTCTGCAGACATGTTTCTGGCTGTGTCAGTATAGTGCTGGTTGTGTCTTTATGTATGTGTTTATGGCAGTTTTATTACAGTACTGATTGTGTTTCTGCAGACCTGTTTCTGGCTGAGCCAGTATAGTACCGAATGTGGACATGTTTCTGGCTGTGTCCGTGCAGTACTGATTGTGTCTTTGTGGACATGTTTCTAGCTGTGTAAGTGCAGTACTGATTGGGTCTCTGCGGACATGATTTGTGCAAATATTTGTGCAAAAAATATTATCCGAACATTCAATGATGCCGTCGGAGACTAAATTAATGTAGTTTGAAAATTTTTTGATTTTAACTTCAATTTTGGAAAATAATGGAGTTTCCCAAGTAAAAACCAATATATTTGTTAGAAGTTCATTTGAGAAAAAATTTCCATCCAGCTCCTTTGATTTTTTTTCATCATTATGGACAAAAAGATCACTGATTATCTATTAGAAAATGTAACAAATGTTTCAAAAACTATTGTTTTCAAATGTAATTCTACTGGTGTATGGCCAGCTTTACTCCTTATTTTTAAGTAGGTTGGGGCACAAAGATGGTGGTCTAAGGTAGTTGAGCCACCCCTGATTTATGCACATCCCTCCAGGCTGATTGAGCTTAGTGTAGCAACGTTCAGTTAGGATGGATGTTTTTGATAATTGCTGCTATTGTCAAGAGATAATACCTATACTAAGGGTGTCTGCACTGGCCATAAACACAGATGCTCAGCTGGCACAGTTGTGAATGTCTGTGTTCTGTTCTACAGAAAAACTTTTTGGAAGTAGTGTCTTCCGTATGACGTCTTATGTCTATGTATCAGCATCTTTAGATTTAGAAGCACAAGAAAAAAATAATAATATGTGTTGTCTTTCCTTTCAGGTTGCTGCTTCATTGGTTGGTCTTATGCTTATCAAAGAGTAAGTATGTTGCGATGAAGATGATGTCCTGAGTGCCACAGAAGTCTGGTGGTGGCTCTTTTCCGTGTATTCAAAGTCCTAAGGACTAACGAAATTTGAAAGTATTTAACTTGATTGTTTTCCTATCTGCATGACACTCTAAATGATTTTATTAAGTATCCCATGGAAAGAAGACCTATGAAAATATACTGTATTTATGTTTTATAAATTGATGTTTTACTAAATAATGTTTTATTCATGTGTATATGCAAGTGCCCTTACACTTTTTCTGTTTTCTTTTTTATACAGAAGCAATCTACATAATAATAATAATAATTCAAGCACTAATGGGAATGACTCCTCCAAGTCATCAGTAATCGTGACCTCTACCAGTTCTTACTATGTATTTTATATCTATGTCGGCGTGGCAGACTCCCTTTTAGCTTTGGGAATCTTTCGCGGTTTGCCTCTTGTCCACAGTCTGATATCTGTCTCCAAGGTCTTACATCAGAAAATGCTCCATTCAGTTCTACATGCTCCAATGTCCACGTTCAATACGATGAGAGCTGGTACGTTTCTAGGCTGCCAAAGCATGGTCAAAAAAAAAAAACAGCTTTAAATGAAGCACTGCTTATGACTCTTTGGTCATTTTTTTCTTTTCCTCTCTTGGCATGCAATCTGTCCTATGGCCTATGGGAATTGTGCTTTATCCTTTTTTTGTTATTGAGAAGCCTTGTAACCATCCAGGTATTTCTTATTTCCTATATTATGCACTGTGTTCATTGTGTTGTCCAGTTGTTCAGTGAAGTCATGCATGTATCATCTGGACAATGAATCAGTTAATCTGTGATTCTGTCACAAGTGAGGCAATATTATGGTGTTAGAGCAAGCTGAGACATTTGAGCAATTAAATACATTATCCAGTTACAGTATATATTCCTAAGCAGTCACATATACATGTTTATATACCAACTGCCTTAGATTAGTGAGCTAGTTCTAATTCATAGGTTTGGTCCTAGTGGAAATCTCTTGGCAGTGTTTATGTGGATAGATAGAAAAGGGTTAGTTTTATTAAAACATGTGATAGAAAGGGAATGAACAGTTAAACATTTTATTCATCATTATTTTAAAAAGTCACTTTCCATTTATGAAACGTATATTTTGTGGCTTGATTGATAATATGCAGTAAAATGTTTTTGGTTTTGTTACTCAGGAATTACATTGAAGCGCTTAGTTACAAAGATTTGTGTTATATTACAGGGCGGATATTAAACAGATTTTCAAAAGATACAGCTATACTAGATGATCTTCTTCCACTGACTATTTTTGATTTCATACAGGTGAGTCTGTTGATAAAAAAAAATGTTTCTTTGTAGATTTGAAAAAAATAGCAAATTGTAGTTAGCGATTAACTTTTCATATCTATTTTTTTGATTGCGCTATATTGTCCCTGAGCCAGTGATTGCTACTGCCACAGGCGCAATCCCTGGCCCAGTGATTGCTACTGGCTCATTTGTCTCATTGACTTATGTATAAGTCAACGGAACAAGTTAATCGCCTCTCAAAATTTTGATTAATATTATTATGATTATTATTATTAACCTAAAGTAAATGACCTGTTTTCGTCGGGGAAAAAAATCCTCTCAACTGTATAAAAGTTTTAGCTAATTTAATTGCACAATTGAACTTGCTTCTGACCTGTAAGGCCCCGTTCACATTGAACGATTTATCACATGTTAATTCCCGCGATATCGCGGCTATTTACCGCGCGATATCGCTCTTCAATGCATCTCAGGTCCCGTTCACATTGAGCGATTTATCGCGCGGTAATTCCCGCGATATCGCGGCTATTTACCGCGAGATATCGCTCTTCAATGCTTTGCAATGGGGCAAAGGGTCCTGCTGTCGCGGGTCGTGTGTCGCTACAGCAGGACCCTTTTTGTAGCGTATTTTGCCGCGATTCTCGCTTACTCAATGCAATCATTTGCGCGATATCGCGCGACAAATCGCGCGGTATTGCGCAAAATGCAAATCGCATGACAAACGCGCGATTTGCAAATCGCGTAGTGTGAATGGGGCCTTAATATTAATGTAAATCAAAAGAAAGATATCTTGCCAATGTTGTAATTCCTGCTATAGGGGATACCTATAATTTGACTTCAAGCTCTATGCAGACTTCTGTGAAAAGCAGAGAGTCAGTCACATAAGCAGGGTGATTGTATGTCTAGGAGGTCCTGTATGCAGAGCACTGTTGTATTGATCGCTGCAACTTGAAATCGATATATAATCTCTTATAACATGGAGCTGAATTTATGAACTACCCAATCCCCTGCCCTTTTGGCTTCTTGAGCACATCTCAGTGGATATTACCAGAATATCCCTACCATAATGTCTGGTGTACAACTTACACTGGTTCGTTGGTGCATTGGTGGGTTGAGCAGTACTGTGCAGGTGTTCTGTGTGGAAAAATGTGGTAGGGCTGATCTGAGGTTTGCTATTATCCATAAGATGTGCTTAACAGAGCAATGGGATGGCGTAGTTAATTATTGTAAAATATCAGTTCTACTTTACTTGCTTGTGTAGCACACACACACACAAATATAAATATGCCATATGTGTCCCAGTTCATGTATCATGTAACATTTTTTTTTTGTATTTCTAGTTGATCCTTATTGTGGTTGGGGCAATAACTGTGGTTTCCTTACTGGAGCCGTATATCTTCTTGGCTACCGTACCTGTGATCATTGCATTTATTTTGCTTAGATCCTATTTTCTCCACACCTCCCAGCAACTGAAACAGTTAGAATCTGAAGGTAAGGGCAACAGAGATACATTAGCTGAAATGCAAATATTACTTAGTCCTCTTAGAGCATTCATTTGTTCTTCTGTAGACTTAATATGCACATTGATTTAGTGTGATTACATGGAATGTGGGGAGGAGGACAGTTTAATGCTGATGTCAACACAGAAGGATTCTCTGAGCAATTGTTCAGAGAGGTTCACACCCAAAATTCTTCTGCGTTCACAGGCTTCACATATCAGGTGTAAACTGTGCCAGCTCTCACTGTTCAAGTAGAATAGAGGCCTGTAATCTATTGCTGTTCTGCATTATAAACAACACAAGTAGTCTTTATAAGCATTCACTCTGATGTAACACAAATTATGTACTGAACACATAAACCTCTCCTATGTTTAAAGTCCTGTACATACTGGGTGTTAGAGTCTGGCTTTGAATTGGATGAAAGATTATTGATTTCTGTCATAACCAAAGTTGCTGGTTGAATTCTGTTCACTTTGCAAATCTAATTGAATGCCTGCAGTGTCAGGGAAGCACTCAGTGCATACAATGCAATCAGTGTGTGTTCTATTGGCTCCAATAAGGGTTTAAGTCAATAATGTATCATTCAACTTTGAATGTTATGTGTGTACGGCACATGGCGAGTTTAGCCCTACCCTTCTTCCGATGTTGGCGATTGTACTTGCAGCCTAATGAAAAAATTAAGAGATCAAACACATTTATACTAAGCAAACACAAATATATGTAAAAAACACAGCCACTGCACTCCAATGTCAGCAAAAATAAGTCAATTTATTTCACAAGATGATCAAAGCGCATCTTCCCCTGGATTCATACTCCTACAAGTTTCATCCAATTGCAGGGATCATAGAGATAATGGATCACAGAAAGGGGCTCACATTTTTATACACCAATTAATTCGCTGTCAGAGGAGGCTGAGCCAGTGGCACGGGTGGAGAGCTCGGTCTCCTGTGACAGCGAATGAATTGGTGTATAAAAATTTCCTTCTTGTTCTTAAACACGCAGTGCCATTGAAACTAAAATACTTAAACAAATGCATAGTTATAATATATTTATGTTAAACATTTTATTACATTGCAATCTTTTTTTGGTATTTGAAAACAAAAAATCTTCCAAAAGGAATGGGAATTCCCCTCTGAAACAGTTATCACGCAAACAGATGTGCCCATTGAAAGGTTTCCCATCTCCTCCTGCTTTGGTGACTAGCTTGAACCTCTCATGATTTTCTGTCCCACTGACCATGGTCATCAAGACAAATAGAGAGGTTGACTCTATCTAGTGGGTACATAGAAAGCAATAAAAAATTGCTAGGTGTTTTAACCCTCCCCTACTATATCCAAGACTAAAAAAAATTTGGCCTTAAAGTTACACTAAACTCAGGAGTTAAATGTTAAAATGCATTCAAGTACCTTAATTATTAACAAAACTGTATCTCATCTGTGTATCACTCGGCTGTAGATCCTCAAATCACCTCTGAACTGGTGCTGACACTGTCCTTCCTTCTGGAGGGTGGCTACTTTTGTTCTCCATGGTCCCTCTGTGTGTTGTAAAGTAGCCACCATTCCAAGCTCACTCCTGTGATGGACTACAATCTCAATACAAATTAGTAAACTAAACGTGAGATTGTTGTCCATCACGGGAGTGAGCTTGGAGCGGTGGTTACTTTACAACACACACAGGGACCATAGAGAACAAAAGTAGCCACCCTCCAGAAGGAAAGACAGTGTCAGCACCAATTCAGAGATGATTTGAGGATGCACAAATAAACTAAATTTTTGTTGATATTTAAGGTACTTGAATGTATTTTTAAGATTTAACTCCTGAGTTTAGTGTCACTTTAACTTACACTTTAACACTCAACTGCAGTTTGTTTTGTATAATATATACAATTGCAATCATTATCATTTTATTTGGAAAGTTGCTCATTTTAATTATGTAGATGCATATATCACAATTTTAAGACACAGTTTTGAAATAACATGCTTCGTTCACTGAGGTATATTGATCATTATTTGTAGGGATGCTTTAAAAAAGGAGAGACGAAAATGGCACTTTTGGCTGAAATTGTAGTGAATTTCTGGTTTACCTCCTCCCCCCTGGGTCAAGTGGGGAGGACATAAACGTTCAGGTGGCTGAGTGGGACGGAGAGAGCTGTGACAGATCAGGAGAGCGGTGTGGGAGCGGAGACAGCTGTCACAGGAGGCCGAGCCGATGGTGCGGGGGAGGAGTCAGCTGTCACAGGAGACTGAGCTCTCCTCCCGTACCGCAGCCTCAGCCTCCTCTAACAGCAAATCAGGATGGAGAGCGGGTACAAGCAGTCAGCCATCAGTGATCGGTGACTGTAAATAATTGAGGGCATAGTATATTTACTGTGTCCCCAATTATGAATGCTTGCTTCACTTCCTGTTCATTCATGATTGTGGATATAGTAAACATACTATCTCCACAAGTTATAAATGAACAGGGGGCACTCAATATAGAGGATTCCTGTTCATTTATAACAGGGGCGGCAGAAAAAAAGATTCTGTAAGTTTAGAAAAAATAAATAAAAATAAAATATTTTTTAAAAATGCAAAAAGTTTTCGGTTTCGGCCTCACAATTTTTTTATTTTCGGTTTAAAAAATTTCATTTCGGTGCACCAGTAATTATTTGCCATAAAAAACAATATGTTTTGCAGTAACAAATTATAATAGTACTCACATAGCTTACAAATAATTATTTTTATGGCAAAAAAAACATATTTTATAGCTTAGTGAATTCAGCCTTCTGTATAATAATGTAAGCTATATTTTAACATGATGTATTATCTGTCAGTTTATTTATTTTGAGTGCTGAGGGAGTTTGTTATGTAAGTGCCATCATGTGTATGAATATGTCTCTTGTCTTTTTACAGCTCGTAGTCCAATTTTTACTCACCTGATAACAAGTTTAAAGGGTCTTTGGACACTTAGAGCATTTGGCAGGCAGCCTTATTTTGAAACCCTTTTTCACAAGGCACTGAATGTACACACTGCAAACTGGTTTCTCTACCTGTCTACACTGCGATGGTTCCAGATGACCATTGAGATGATCTTTGTCATCTTCTTCTGTGCTGTTGCATTTATCTCCATTGCAACTTCAGGTACACATAATTTGTCAGTTGATCCTGTATACTGTTTTACAATATTATTGTGCATTAAAGGTCCACTAAAATCTCACATAAACCATCTGTTAGCATCCACTTATAAATATGTAACAGTTTCTATACATGTACAGTTGGATACTACCTTTGACATGTTCCACTAAATTAAAGTCAGTTATATTGTAACTGAGTTCTACCTGTATATCCAGGTCTGGCACTGCAGTGTTTAATATGTACTATGTGAATTTCCTTCTTCTTATCATCTCCCATAGACCTTTGTGGACAAGCCTGCTGAATCAGTGGACCATTGGATCTAGGTGATACAGGCAAATCAAATTAATACCCATGGCTCACTATGCCCCCAGCCTACCCACATACACCATTTTGCTAGAAATCTCCTGTATCTATTGTGTGCAAATTAGCACAAATTGCTGTTTTGAGTCATCTTTTTAGGCTGAGGTATCGTTGGGGAGAGAATATTGACACATAAATTATAAAGGAAAGTGTTTTTGTTTATAAGCAGTAGCCAATCACTTTTTAGCTATTTCTTTAGTGCCTGTTTAAACTTGAAAGGAAGAATGTCATTGGTTTCTGTGGTCCACAAGAACACTTTCTCCTAGAACACCATTCATGTAGGAGACACAGCTTACTATCTATTATCACCCTTTGTGCTTGTCTCAAACACCTTGTTAATTGATAAGCTCGTGTAAGCCTCATAGAGGCTTCTAAACACAAACTACGTTTTGGTATAAAGGACTTTATGTGGTTTTAAGTATTTATTTTATCCAGGTAAATCTGTTAAACAATGCATGGCTAATATGTACAGTAAACTTATTGTGATGTTCGGGGATATTAGCACATATGGTGAGCGCTTAAGAATGCAGTCTATTCGCAATATCTTCGGTTTAAAGGCTCGGTAGCCCACTTTTATTCAAAACAAAGTTCATATATCCATCTTGGATACCCTCGCAGGGGTTGTTTAACATAACATTCGTGCAAGGCTTCAAAACAAACACAAGAATAGCCTCCTGGCTTCCACTTTGAACAGTAGCACTTTTGACCCACTGGTCCTCTTTGAAGTGCTGTTCCACGCTGATACTGGTGGCCCCTTAGGCTCATGGCTCTCCTAGCCTCACCAGTTCTCTCCCAGCCTCCCTGGCTGTCTTAGTGTGCCTCCAACACACTCACCGCTTGACTCCTGAACACCGTCCGTTCCTATCCCAGGAGGAGCTCGCCTGACTCCTCTCTGACTTCTGGGGGCATTCTCCTGACACCTGAACATGGTCTGTTACTCTTTCCCAGCAGGAGCTAATTCCCCTAGCCAGCATCCTTTCCTTAAGGGTTGTGCGGTGTGCAATTATCGAGTGCTGGTCATTGCTAAAGCCTGGACCCAGGACTGAGGATCTCACCCTCCCTCCTGAATCACCATGAAACCTCCCAGTTCCAGGATCCCAAGCATAATCCTGACAAACCCTTGCTTCATGACACGTCTAGGCCCTTCTGCTTGAGAGTCCTAGGTGATCTTAAATGTATCTGACAATTATAATATGTCACAGATGTAATCTGGTATATGCCATTGTCTGAAAGAAGTCTTAAAGGAAACCTTTATTTATGAAATATGAATGCTGCCTTTGCTGACTTTGTTAAACTGCTAGTGTTGGATTAAAAGTCTGGCTGTCTTTGACTTAAGTAGTACTGGAACAAGCAGGTAGCCAATGAAGTCAGAGTGAAGTCAAATCTGGTTGCTTTTGACAATAAACACTGTTTAACACTGTTGCGATCCTTCATGTTTACAGTGTCTAAACACTTTACAACTTCCAATTTTTTTCTGCTTTCAAATTTCAGGTGCTGGTCGAGAGAAAGTTGGAATTGTACTGACTCTGGCAATGAATATTATGAATACCTTGCAGTGGGCAGTAAACTCAAGTATTGACGTGGACAGTTTGGTAAGTCAGGTGTTCTCCAAATTTCTTTGACCGAAACATAGCCTTGCATATACACTCACATCTAAAAAGGCTGATCCCTGAAATGTAACTATTATCTTTGCGTGACCTGTGTGCTGTAAATGTCACCGTAACAATTTGACATAGAATAGCCATCTATATCACAGTGATTATGTCACAAATAGCACTCATCCATGCCATCATGAACATCTCATGCAAAATGGCAAGAAAGTTGTTTCTGCTGGCTTGAAATTTTTCCCCATTCCTCCATCACCATGGGTCAAATACCATTTGCAGAGTATGTATTTATAAGTGTGCATGTGTGTATATATATTATATATATATATGTATGTATATAGATATATATTTTGATAAAAATTGACTGAGCTTTGTGGTGATTCTTTGATTCATCTCTGTTGCAAGAGTAATGCGTGCCTGTAGACCTACTTTGGCTTTGATGGATGAGCACAAGCATTATGCTCAGGTTTGAATCTCAGACAACAGAAATGTATTTATTTATGGTTTGCTACAATTAATGTGATATTCTTTGTTGTAGATGCGCTCTGTCAGCAGAATCTTTAAATTTATTGATATTCCAAATGAAGATACCAGCAAGCACAGCAGTGATAAGGATGATAAACTTTCAGAGGTTCTTATTATTGAGAATGAATATGCAAAGAAAGATACGAACTGGCCATCCGGTGGTCAGATGTCTGTTAAAAATCTCTCTGCAAAGTATGTGGATGGAGGGAATGCTGTTTTAGAGAATGTATCATTCTCAGTCAGTCCTGGGCAAAGGGTAAGATCCATACTTCTAAAGCTACATTGTTCAATTTGTCGGCCCAAAAGTGGTTTGCCCTTGCCTGACTTTCACATTTGTGGGTTTTAGTGAACTCATACCTTTATACTTTTGTTTTACTGTTCTTGCAGCTTCAAGCTGAACTCCAGGCAAACAGGTGTACACCTTTTCTGAGATTTACACAGACTGCCACACAGCACAGCACTGATTATTCAGTGCCCAGGGCAAAGATGCTAAACCGCCCCCCCAGTTTTCTATGCATGTGCCAGTGTTCTTTCAAGACAAGAACATATTTGGAACATTTACATTTTAAAATATAGAGGTTTTATTAAGTCAAGACAGAATTCATGCACAGCTGCCTCCTCCTCATCCAGGGCCCTGTTTGGTGGTCAAGAGGCAGAAGAACACGCTAGTATAATTGTTGAGTAGATGGAAGAATACTTTGGCATACGTGGTCAGCTGGGAGAAAAATGTCCTGACATTGGTATTAGTGGGAGGAAAATATTGGGGGCTTTGAAGTGCAGCAGAGGTTTTGGATGGGGCTGGGGGGTTTGAATTCTCTGGATGGGCCTGGGTGTTACTGTGAAGCTTTGTGAGAGACTGGAGGGCACTGCAGGGGCTGGGGGCACTATGGGGGACTGGAGGCACTGCAGCAGGGTGGGGGTACTGCTGTTAGCTGGGGACAATGTTGGAGGCTGGGCTGCACTGTGGGAGGTTGGGGGTCATTGTGGGTGCTCTGAGGGGGACTAGGAACACAGCAGGAGGTTGAGGGGCACTGATGGGGGTCTTGAAGATACTGTTGGAGGTTAAGGTCATGATGGGGGGCTAGTGACTCTGCAGCAGGCTGGGGGAGACAATGTTTGATGTTGGTGGGGCACTGCAGGGGCTGGTGGCACTCTTTGGGGCTGGGCAGCCGTGTGGGAGGATGGGGAGGCACTGTGTGGGCTGAATGCTGCAGATATTCCTCCCCCTTCCCCCACTTCAGAGCTGCTAGTAGTACGGGCACCACTGGCAAGGAAAACCTCTTCCTGCTCCCCCAGGGGGCAATCTCCGGGGTTGAACAGCAAAAAGTTTTCCTGGCACACTCACAGGCTAGCATGTAAAAAAAAACGTGTCTCACACTAAGGTTAAAAACAGAGGTTTGTATACACGTCTTCTGCAGAAAATGTGAAAGCCACACAGCCGCGCCAAGGCACCACTTATAGTGCGGTCCAAACTCTAAACTATCAGTCTCCATCTTGGAGCATGTAGGGCAGAAGATAAAATTGGGTGCAGGTTTGTCAGGAGGAAGCCCAACCCCCTTAAAGGCACAGAGACGCACAAAGGATCCCGCACATCCCAATGGCAGCTGAGACCCCCCATGCATCACTGCACCAAACCAGTCAAGCAAAACACATGGCAAACGCACTCATCAATTCGTCACCAGCTTTACAGCAAGGTGCACATGGAATGGGCTTTAAACAGTCAAACAGCAAAAAGTTTTCCTCGCACACTCACAAGCTAGCATGTAAAAAAAACTTATCTCACACTAAGGTTAAAAACAGAGGTTTGGATACACGTCTCCGGGGTTGCCCTTACTGATGCCAGCTTTGCTGGTATTGATTTGCAGTGCCTCCTTCATTCTAATACCTTGTGTTGCCTAATAGAGTAGTGCCATATTACAAGGTAATAACTGGGCTCACAAAGGTATTTGGTGCACGCAATATGGATTTATATCCTTTGTGGCTATTGAGGAATACATTTATATAAAATAGTTTGTGCTTGTTGAGGTCAGCTTTAAATACCACCAATAACTCCCTATTTCTGCATTTCAGCTGAAAGGGTTAACATGCTGAGGAATTACATAGTTACATAGTATTTGAGGTCGAATAAAGACACAAGTCCATCAAGTCCAACGTATTGCTGATGTGTGCGTATGTATAGGTCCATGTATCATCTCATTCTTAAGAGTACCTGTACCCCTGTACATTACGGTCTCTCAGAAAATTGTCCAAAAGCTTCTTGAATGATTCCACACTCTTAGCTGAAATCACTGCCTGTGGCAGCAAGTTCCAGACCCTAACCGCTCTAACTGTGAAGAACCCCCTTCGCCCCTTGTGCTGGAATTTTCTTTCCACCAATTTTAGGTGGTGGCCTCTAGTCTTTGTTATGGAGTTAATCGTAAAGAGTTTGTTGCTAATGTTGCTATCACCATTGAACATCTTGTACATGAAAATCATATCCCCCCCTTAATCTCCTTACATGCATTTTTTCCTTCAGCGTGAGGTAGCCTCTTTATGCAATAGCGCCTATCTGCAAGTGACATGCAGTTTTACCTTTGTTAGTCCTTGATGCCAACTATGGTGGCCTGGTCACCTCCGGCCATTGACCTCTTCTGTTTAAGCAGTTGGCTTTAAGGAAACCAAGGATAACAAGCAGTGGAGCAGTCCTGCAGTATTGAGTCGGCCCAGCTCACGATCCACTAACAGTTCCCTCTGTGTTTTTGTACACCTGTTTTTCTATAAAACTAAAGTATGCTGGGAGGTGGAGGTTATATCTTTCTAGCCAACGGCTGTTTTGAATGTCAGTGTCCAAATGCTCTTGTAGGCGGCAATATAACCCATTTGTATCAGAATGAATATTGATCCTGTGTCCCTTAATTAACTCCAAAAAATAGATTGTTTGGTAAGAATAAAAACCCTGTTTTTTGATGAATTAATTAACACAGAGTTGCATTAATTTGAATCTATTATATGTGCATGGAGTTTAGCTATAGGAGTATCATTTGTTGGTATTTCATTGTTCAGCCATAGTGTATTTTCACAATGGCTTAGAGTTTCATTGTAAAGTAAAGTTGTTCAAATTGTTTTAAAATTTTAAATAAACAGCCTTATTCAATACCAAATAGTGCAGAGTGCAATACCCATAGCAAACAATCAAAATCCATATTGTATTAGTCTAAAGCTGACCATACAGTGGATGAATGTTGGCCTTGTTAGCAGGGCTGGGCCGAATTTCAACCCTGAAGATCTCCCCCTTAGACAAAAGTCGAGTTTTCAATCGACTTTTGTTGAAGGAGATGGTTTGAAAATTATTGGGGTATTTTGACAGTGGCACAGCCGCCTCCTATAAGTCTACAATAACTCTGTGGGGGGAATCCATCATCTACACTGTATAACGTGAATGGGGCAATCAGACGTTTTCTCTCCCGGGGGCTGAACGAGACAAATCAAATAGTGTATGGCCAACCTAACTTCAGTAATTTTTGAATGGTCGCCATTGATTTCTGCACTCTACACTTTTAGCTTTAGTCCTTGCTCTGTGTAGTGAATAAGAGTAAAAGACTTCCAAGCTACATTTGTGCATTTTGTACCTGATCATGTTTATCTTTCTCTGAAGTAAAATGCCACTTAAAATACATACTTTACATTCATATCTTAAATATCTGACATTCTAGGTCGGTTTGTTAGGAAGAACTGGTTCAGGAAAGAGCACTTTGTTGTCTGCGTTTTTGCGACTGCTGTCAACCCAAGGAGATATTCAGATCGATGGGGTATCCTGGAATAAAATACCATTCCAGAAATGGAGGAAAGCATTTGGAGTTATTCCTCAGGTAAGTATCTCTAACATTTCTTCTTTGTTGGTGTATTATATATTTAGGCTGTCCATGTTTGAATTTGGTAATACTCTTTCTTATACTCAGAGGGCAATAACAGTTATAGTAATTTTAATACAATTACATTCAGTTTAATTGGCCCTGTGTACACTGCAGCACTTGACATCAGAAAAATCCTGAAAGTATTAATTTGTATAAATACGTAATCCATTAAGTAGGTCTTTCGTTGTCTTGGGAGTTCACAGAAATTTGCAGGTTGGTAACTGGCCCATAGTTTTTTTTTATATCATTAGCATTAAAGAGGCCTAACAATGCATGTTTTCCAGGTCTCTTCAAAACAAGTCAGCCAATGAATCTTTAATGCTGCAAGGAAAACTGATGCTGTGCAAACATCAGAAAATCCACTATATATAGGGTAGACAGGCTTCTAGGTGAGCCTCATAATATGCACTGTACAACCTTCTCCTCATTCTGTAGTGTGTTGGCACCTCACAGTGGGCAGTCTGCATTCATCGCAGGGCCTCCAGCTGTGCAGAGTAAAGGATGGGATAAAAAAATGTGGATAGTGTACACTGGCTTTTCTTTGCATCTGAACCACCATATAAGTCACAGGGAAACACAAAATCAGTTTAAAGCAGGTGGAACAAAGTCAAATGAAGGTCAGAAAGAGGTCAAACACATCTGTCATTGAACTATGAATGATCTCAAACTGATTTCAAATACAGGGTGAATGCACATGAAAAAAGGCTGAATATCCCATTAACACAAGTCCCTAAAGGTTCACTGCAGTTAGTTCAATTTAAATGTAACTGTTTCATGTTTGATTGGAGTTTATAGTTGTGTTTCCACCAAAACATCAGGAAAACATGACCTGTTAGGTAAATAAAATGTAAGTTAATGTTGTCTGCTTATTGATCTGTCCTGCCTAGTTTTAGTTCATAATAGTATGAATAGGATATTTACATATGCGGAACACCCATGTTTTTCTTGCTAAATGTTAACTTTTCATTTTGGTGGTCTTTAAAATAGGATCGTTGTAATGTATGACGCAAATGTAGATATTTATCCCCCCCGTAGCTGTTGAGGTCATGAAGCTTACATCTCTGCTTCTTGGTGACCAAAGAAAACAACATTTAAAATGTACTTAAATTCTAACTATGAATTACTCTTATTTGATCCCATTCAGTCTTTTAAATACACCATTGAAAGTGTTTTATTAAATTTATTCCATAAGTACAAAAACATCCAGAAATCTTGTGAGGTAAAAACTTTCTGTGCTCTCTGCCACTGCTGGGTTTTTATCCGTTAGAATTGTTCCCAGTGCTCTAATGTTATGGAGATGAGGTGAAGGGTATTCTGCAGTCCAAATCAGGACATCAGCATTTCCTTTCAGTATGGAGGCTTAGGCAGAGCTGGTGTAGCTCTGATCAGCCTGTCTATACAGCAGTAGATCACTGCTATAGTGATCTATTGCTGGCTCTTGCAGCCAGCAATATATCACTAGTAGAAGTATATCTGTAAAAAGTAAATCAAGGCAACTAGACTTGCTGTATTTTTTTCTTGAAGGCAATTCGCTGGTTATCCCACTAGCTTTCTCACTCTAGCTTTCTCATTCTCAGAATTCTGAATCGAGAAAGCTAGTCAGATGACAAGCGAAACATCTGCAGGAATAAAATACAGCAGGTCCAGTCATGTCCAATTTCCTGATTGGCTAGGAAGCTGACTTCACTCTGCCTAGCGACACTGCAAGACAACCTGCTTCCTGACCAATCAGGAAGCCGGATGGCAGATCATGACCCGCCCCCTTAACAACACTTTGTAAATGTTTGGGTACTGAGGAGACCAGTTGCTGCAGTTTTGGGAGAGGAATGTTGTCCCATTCTTGCCTGATATAGGATTCTGTTTAATGGCCCTGGGTCTTCTTTGTCATATTTTCCGTTTCAAGATGCACCAAATATTTTGAATTAGTGAAAGGTCTGGACTGCAGGCAGGCCAGTTAAGCACCCGGACTCTTCTACTACAAAGCCATGCTGTTGTCATAGATGAAGTATGCAAGACCTTCCCTGAAAAAGATGTCATCTGGATGGGAGCATATGCTGTTCTAAAACCTGGATATATCTTTCAGTATTGATGGTGCCTTTCCAGATGTGCAAGCTGCCCATTCCATATGTACTAATACACCCCCATACCATCAGAGATGCTTTTGAAAAGAGCGCTGATAACAAGCCAAAAGCCCCCTATCAACAGTTTTCCACTGTGCAACACACCATTTTAAATGAGCTTTGGCCCAGAGAAGATAGCGGTGTTTCTGGATCATGTTCGGATTTGGCTTCTTCTTTGCATGATAGAGGTTTACTGGCATTTTTGGATGACAAGGCAAGCTGTGTTCACAGACAGTGATTTTTGGAAGTATTCCTGAGCCCAGGCAGTGATGTCCTTCACAGAATCATGCAGGCCCGATCATGGGCATCCAATATTGCATTTCAGCCTTCTACCTTGCACACAGAGATTTCTACAGATTCTCAGAATCTTTTGATGAAATTATGTACTGTGGATAGTGATATATTTAAAGTATTTGCAATTTTACGTTAAGGAACATTTTTCTGAAATTGACAATTTTTCACAGATTGGTGAACCTCTGCCCATCTTTACTTCTGAGACTCTCTAAGATGCTCTTTTTATACCCAATCATGTTACTGCCAATTAACCTAATTAGTTGCCAAATGTTCTTCCAGCTCTTGCTTGTTAGTACCACTTACGCAATGTAAGTGGTACTAACAAGCAAGAGCTGGAAGAACATTTGGCAACTAATTAGGCAGCTTTTTGTTGCCCTGTCCCAACTTTTTTGAGACATGTTGCTGCCATCACTTTTAAAATTACCTTATTTTTTTTTCTTAAAATGGTACATTTGCTCAGTTTAAACATTTGATATGTTTTCTATTGTTACTAAAATATGGGTTTATAAGATTTGCAAATCATTGCATTTAGTTTTTATGTAGATTTTACACCAGGGCAGTGTTCAGATCTCACCAGAGCTGCATTTGCGTCTCACCAAGGCTGTGTCTGCGTCTCACCAGGGCTGTGTTTGCGTCTCACCAAGCTGCATACAGATGTCACCAGGGCTGCGTTTGCGTCTCACCAGGGCTGCACACAGATCTCATCAGGGCTGCGTTTGCGTCTCACCAGGCTGTGTGGAGACATCACCAGGGCTCCATTTACGTATTACAAGGGCAGTGTACAGATCTTACCAGGGCTGCGTCTCACCAGGCTGCGCAGAGATCTCACCAGGGCTGCGTTTGCGTCTAACCAGGGCAGTGTACAGATCTCACCAGGGCTGCGTCTCATCAGGCTGCGCAGAGATCTCACCAAGGCCGCATTTGCGTCTCGCCAGGCTGCACAGAGATCTCACCAGGGCTGTGTTTGCGTCTCACCAGGGCAGTGTACAGATGTCCCCTGCTGCATATGGGACTTCGGCCGCTGGTCTCCTGCCGTCTCTGGGGCTGTTTGTTCAGTGTGGGGCTGTCCTTGGCTGTGCCTGTGCCGGGAAGGGGGAGAAGAAGATATGTGGCCGGACAGGCACTGCCAAGGACAGCTACCGCCAGGTCCCCAGCCGGCTACAAGTACAAGCACTCCTGAAAATGCACAGTATTGGTACCGATACCAGTATCGGTATCGGGGTATCCCTACTTTTGACAATATAGTGTATGTACAGGATGGTGTGTTGGCATCTGACCAGAAATATACAGCAAAACTAAACAGCTACGCTATAGCACAGCATAAAATATTCTCCCCTTGCAGTGTGGCTACCCCCACACTTGCTACAGTGGGTCTACCCCCGCACTGCAAGGGTTTATTGCAAGGGTTAACTGCTCATGTACTGTATATCTAGGAGATTCTTTAAAGCAGATTTAATTACCTGATCCCCACTCCCCTGGTGATCAGTGCTCACTTCTGCATCCTTACATATAATGCAAGTCTATGAACCCTGCATTAGAGATGATGCATCAGCTGGTGTCTGACCGCCAGGGCAAAGGGTTGTAGTAGGGTATCAGGTAAGTATAACTGCATCACTTTGGTGTCCTAGGCATAAATGAACAGTTAACTATTGCATTGTTGGGGTTGCCACACTGCAAGGTGACGTTTTTTGTTTGCCGGGAGATGGGCTTTAAATTAAATAGCATCCTAGTGCATCCACATGTGAAGTAACTCACGTTAAGAGGCGTGAAGGGGCCCTAAATGTGATCTACACCCACTAAGGGATAATATATTCATATACAGTTATTTTATAATAAGCTACATCAGGGCTCAATGGAAATTTGGGTCTCCAAGTACCGGTCCGCAGGCCAACTCCGGCCCGCGAGCCTGTGCTATGTTGCCCGCAGCCAGCTGAAATGTCAGGCACACTGTCGTAGACCTGACTTGCGGGAGCAGCTCCACGATCTGCATCTGTGTCGGATGCAGACCGCAGAGCAGCTCCTGTCAGCTCTGGCTTCCTTCGGCTGGAACTCACCTCTGACAGTTCTGAGCTCCGACCGAAAGAAAGGATGTATGTGAGGAGGATCGATCCCTGGTTATCTGGGGGTGCTTAGGGAGGTTTCCCTAAGCACCCCCAGATAACCAGCGATCGATCCTGCTCACAGCATCCTCCCTGCAAAGACATGAACAGGTGGGGGAGGGACTATATTATTTTATGTGTGTGGGGATTAATAAGGGGGGGAGTATATTATTTTATGTGTTTGTATTATTGTGTTTTAAGCTGCCCATACCCCTTACAACCATCGCACCACTTTCATTATGCGATGGTTGTAAGGTCATTAAAATCTCGTACAATCTGCCCATCTTGGACAGGCAGATCGTACTTGCGATCATCGCAAGCCCTCCCCGCTGAGGGGAGGGCTTCTGATGATTGCAGTACTGAGCGGGCAGTGTGCGCCTGCAAACACCGGCCCGTGCGGCATTCGTCTTCCGACCACGCCACCAACCGGCCAATAATCGTA